ATTCAACAAAACAAAAACAAAAATAGGTTTTTTTTTGATTGAGTATTATTCATCTATGCCTTTTTTCATTATAATAATGAAATCAAAAATTTTCTTTTTAAATGAAATACTCATATTTTCAATATCGCATTATTTATTGATGCAAACAAAATATGTTTTACATACAGTTTATTAAAATCAATAATGATAACTACTACAAAAAAAATGAAAAAAAAAACAAAATACTAAGTACACAAGAAGACAAGAGAAACAGATTGCGATAATATAAATGAAAAGATGGAAGAAGAAAACAAGCTAGTAAATAATGTTTATTGGCTTTAATGATGATATAGATAGCTACGCTTCATGTAAGGACAAGATATTGTGTTTGTGCCATCTGTCTTGCAAAGAAAACCAAGTTGTTAGTGGAATCACTACGGGATTAAAATCAACACTATGTCATCATAACATACCTGATTTAAACATCTTATTCAAATATGCTTCTCGCTTCAAAGAAACGCTGGCAGCCATTCCCTATTCAAATTTCCTACCAGATGAGCGGCTCGTAAAAAAGTCATTCAAATAATCTACGTACATCCAAACATAGATTTCAAGTTGCTGATAGTAACTGACAGAACTCGATACAAAAATAATTCAAAGCAAATAAATATTCCAGTATTCTGTTCAATTCGAAAGAACCATTTTATGATGATTAGATAATTCCACAGCACTTGCTCAATGAAAAATTCATAAAAACCTTTGCAAATATTTTGTGTGGTTCCAAGCAAACAATGGCACTTGATTATATCGTGAGAAACACTGAATCAATGAATAACTCAGAGGAAACATCTATCTGACTACTTTGCTCAACTATAAGCAAATGTTCCCCTTAAATTCTATCGTTGGCAGCCACTTGTCCAGTGAATCACTCATAAAAAGCTATTCAAATATTTCCTGCCATTAGAAGCAAATAATGGCACTTGATTACATCATCAGAAACGCTCAATCAAGGAATAATTCGTACAAAACACCTATTCCACTATTCCGTTGAATTATCAATAAATCTTCTCGTTAAATTCCATCGTTGACGAACACTCGTCCAATGAACCACTCATAAAAAGCTTTTCAAATATTTCCTACAATTTGTAACAAAGCATCGCACTTGATTATATCATTAGCAACACGGAATCTAGGAATCGCTCATACAAAATATCTATTCCACTATTTCTGTGACTTCTGAGCGAAAATAACGGTTAAATTTCATCAATGACGGCCGGTTGCCTAATGAACCACTAATAAAAAGCTATTCACATATTTCCTGCAATTCGAAGCAAACAATAACGCTTGGTTATGTCGTCAGAAATACCCAATCATCGAATAACTCATATTAAACGCCTATGTAACTGCTTCACTGAACTATAAGCAAATGTTCCGGATAAATTTCATCGATGATCACCACTTGCCCAATGAACCACTCATAAAAAGCTACTCAAATATTTTCTGCCATTCGAAGCAACCAATAGCATTTGATTATAACGTGAGAAACACTCAATCAACGAATAACTCATACCAAACGCCTATATAACTACTTCACTGAACTATAAGGAAATGTTTCGGATAAATTCCATCGTTGACAATCGCTTGTCTAATGAACCACTCCTAAAAAGCTACTCAAATATTTTCTGCCATTCGAGGCAAACAATAGCACTTGATTATATCGTGAGAAACACTCAATCAACGAATAACTCATATTAAACGCCTATGTGACTATGTCGCTAAACTATACGCAAATATTCTGGTATAATTCCATCGTCAATGCACACTCGCTCAATGAAGAACTCACAGTAAGAAGATATTCATATATTTCCTTCGATTCAAACCACAGATTAGCACTTCATTATAACATCATGAAATACTAAGGAATGGAACGATCTGTAGTGAACAACTAATCAAATATTTCGTTCGATTCCGACTAAATACTTACAAGTCATTTCATGATTGAGGAACACTCGCTCGACGAACATCCCGTATCATAGAGTTATTCAAATATTTCCGACAATTTGAAGCAAGCCTTTTAGGTGGTCACATCATTAGAGAATATTGAATCAATGAATAACTCATACCAATCACGTATTTGACTATTGCAATGAATTATACGCAAATGTGCGGGCTTCATCCTATCGTCAGCGAAGACTCTATCAAGGAACAATTCATACTAAATAGATATTCGTGTATTTCCTTCAATTCGAAGTAAATTTTCTGATTTGATTAGATTATCGAGAATTACCTGCTGCAGAAACAAGCCGTGGAAAGAGCTATTTAAATATTTCTTACAATTCGAAACAAAGAATGTTGCTTCATTATGTCGTCGGAGAACATTCTATCAAGGAATAACTGATATGAAACATTTATTTGACTACTTCGGTCAATTCCAAACAATCGTTTTGTTGTGAATCCGTCATTGAAAAACAGTCGATCAAGGAACAGTCCACATCAAAATACTATTTAAATATTTTGTTCATGTTGAAGGGAATATGTTATTTTGAGTACATTGTTGGTGATGACTCGATCGAGGAATATTTCACACCAAGCAACTATTCAAATTTTTTGCTGAAGTCGTGGCAAAGATTCGTAGTTGATTATATGACTGGTGCTGAAACCTGAAACCTTGTGATAAAGGAAGAATTTCTATGTTTGTAGACTGTTTGACGGAGTAAACGTTGGGGATCTGCACTGTCCACACCGGTTGCTTGTGCACTGTGAATTATTGTCACCAACACGGTAAAAAACGATCAAAGAAACCATTGTATTGATTTGATTCATTGCCACTTGTTGCTTTTCGAAGCTTGAAGATACACGGGTGAATGTATATCAACAAGTATCTGACTGATGCAGTCGTACAGTTGTACTTCGACTTTATATAGTTGTTGGCAACCTAGCAAGGTGAAATTTGCAAAAAAAAATTTTCTTTTCGTAGATAGTCAGAGAGGGAGAGAGATTTATCTTTTTTTTGCTCTTAGAGAGTGATTTTTTGTCGTAGGTGGCGGTGTATATCGTTACTAATAGGCTTTTTCTTTTCTTTTTATCTCGTGTAACTGTCAATGAAAGAAAATAACCTTTTGATCAGTGATTATACATTTATCACATTTATTTATCTATGATCCATTTTTTATCCCATCCAAATCGAAAAGGATGTCTCTTATTCATTGCCTCAACGAGAAAGGCGAGAGAGTGAAAAATATATTAACGTAGTGACTATCATCGACCATGGAAATAATAATGACAAGGCGAAAAAAAAATCATAGAAGGTATATAATGAATGAGAGACAGTTAAGACGATACACTATTACAATAAAACGTTATTCATGTGTGACCAACAGAAAATAGAGAGGAGAAAGAGACTAGTTTGTCTTTCTCCCTTTCTCTTTCTCTCTCTTTTGATTTCTCATAGCCACTTACGTACGTCCTGATAAACGCGCAAAACTGACGTCGAACCAACCGAAAAACAAACTGACCAGTATATAAAGAATACAAATCAATGTTGTAGTGTCCACTTATGCTCTCTAAAAATCGACTTACCGAAATAAAATTAATTTTTTAAAGTAATTGCCTTATAAGAATGTTTAAAGAACGATGTAAAGTTAATTCGAAAACGTGTTTCATGTTATTTATAGTCAACTGGAGTAATTCAAATCATTTGAAAGAAAAATGAGTGCATTTTGATCATTTTTCAGTCATTCTGTGTCAGAAAAAAAGACTGTTTTAAATTTAATGATAACTTCAGGTATTCTCTATCGAATCATATAAGAGCCTTTCAAAAAAAATTAATATTTTGAGTGAGTTTTTACAAACTGCTGAATGCTCTATCAAAGTAATTCAATTTATTCAATCGATGTAATTCATGTTATTTTAGTTAAAGCGGCTAAAATTTTATTTTTCCAACTTCATACTCATTATACACTGTAAATTTTATATAAATTCTATCTTTTTAGAAAATCGAATTTTAAAATATTAAAGCATTTTAAAACTTTTACTGCTCATTGGTCGTATTTTAAATAGTTAGAAAATGTTTGATTTTCTAGATAATGCAAATTCAATTCGATTTTCGAAAAAATTCATTTCCAAACAAATGGAAAATCAACAATGATTTTAAACAATATTCGAAATTCTATCTCTATTTCGAAAAAATCATTGTACTAATTATGATGTGTTTCATTTGTATGTCTTATCTTTCAACTCTTGTTGAATAATTTTTTTTTTTGAGTTCTTAATATTGACATATTTATTTAACGTATTATCAAATCTTTCGTATTTATTTGTTTATTGAAGACTTAAGAAAAAATAAAAATATCGTTTTCATTTTTTTTTCTATTTTTCTATTTTATTTTAGGTTATTAATATATGGAGTGGGCTATTGAAGATGTGTCAAGGTGATTGGCTGAGAATGGTTTGGAAAAATACGTTAAAAAAATTTTAAGCATCGACGAAAAGCTCTAGCATTTAATTATTCAGTCTGTTTTTATCTATTCTAGAAGAAAAATTAATGGTTTATCTTTATAACATCAAAGTTAATTGTCATTAAAAGAATTATTATCGTTTAGTATAGATGATGATGATGATGATAACGTTATTAAAAAATAATCATTGGTATTAAAACAATATTGGAAAAAAATTAGGACATTAAGAAACAATGTTTATTCATTTGCTTTAGTTGATCAACTTAATATTTTTTTTCTGTTTTACTAGAATTGTAGTATTCAGCAAAAAAATATCTGATATACTTAAACAACAACTGCACTGTAACGAATCAAATGATTTATCATTCTTCAATTATTTCAATATTGATAGTGTACACCACCAACTTTATATACATCAACACAATCACTTTATCAATCTTTCTTAAACTCAAACTGTTTACAAGTTACTCATACACCACTTGACCTATGATCCATCAATTATTAGACTACTTTTCAACAAGCTCAATATTATCCCAATCAAGAAAGATGTTTTAATTAAATTAAATGGTTCCAAGATTTGATAAAGCTTTTGAAGAAGCTGTTAAAGATCCATCACCAGCAGACTTTGGAGCACGATGCAGTGAAAAACAACAATTACTAAAAAGCAATTTGTGATGATGTAATGAATACTTATGAAATTAATTTTAATTCAATATCATGTGAATTCGATCAAATGATAGTTAGCGCGAAAAATAAATATTCAGCACTCAGAAAAATATTTGGCGAAGGTATCGTATGTTAGATAAAAGATCGAATACTTTTTTTTCGTCTTTATTTTTTTTTCTTGTTCAGAGCTTCTTTAGCACCAGCACTAAAACAACAGTTCTCTCGTGATCGATAAGTATTCAGTTATTCGTGTAAAATATTGTTAAAAAAAATGATAATCATATGATCATGAAATGCCAGGACAAAAATTGAAATTTGTGATGGTTGGCAATATATCTCGTCGGATAAAAGGCAAACTATTGTTCTATATTCTTTGAATTCTTTTTTTCTAATCTTTTTAGAAATATTTAGTTGAAGAAAAAGAACAATCAGAAGAATATCTAATGCAATTATATATCAACAAAGTGAATCAATGCGTGTTTTAATTAATACAACAAATTATGATCATCCAAGAAGTTGTCAAATTTAATTCAGTTTTATCAGTGACTAATTTGGTAAGTGCTAGAGAGTATTTTTTTTTTAATTGCCTAATATCTCATTTAAATATTGGTAAGTTTAAATCATTTATTCAAAGTATCTGATATAGTCTAAGTGTCATGTATACATCGATTCTTTGTTATTTGTTTTTGTACAGCTTATTCATGCGATGAACTTGGTCAAGGAAAACAAAATATTAATAAAACTAATGTACTTTTATTACTATTTGTATAATATTTTTCGTATTTTTAGAAGAACAGTCGTGTTTTATGTTAAAGATTTTGCTTATGAAACGTCACAAATACTCTACAAAGTTTTATTAAATCATGTGAGTAGTTTATTGGTAATTTGAATTATTTTTTTAGTTCTAATTTTTCGATTTTATTATTGGTTATTCTAGCAAACAATTGATGTTTATCAAATTATACAAATACAAACAATTAATAATACTAAAAGTTATTCTATTGTTATTGGATAAAATACATGTATTACGATGAATTCACAAATTGAAGCTATGACCGTTTTATTTGAATCGTATGCATGAAATATTTAATATAAAATATACAGTAAATGTTCAGACAACTTGGAAAATCCTGAATAATTTATCATTGAAGAGAAGATCAGTTGTTTTATTAAAGTCCGCTAAACAATTTTTTAAAAGAGTATAAAATAAACAATCATGCATTCTAGAGAGATATTTTTCTGTTTGTGATTGTATATCATTCAGAATTACTTAAATTATTTTATGTTTTCTTTTATGCATTACGTGTGTATATGGGAAAACTGATTTTCAAATTCATAAAAAATGTTCTAATCAATAAATAGTCTACGAATTTCTAGGAATGCCAGTATGAATTCACTTTCGATTTTCTAATGAGAAAATCGAATTTTTTTTTTATAATTTCTTAAAAAGCGTATTTTCAGGAAATTAGAAACTCGTGTATGAATTCATATGAGCATTCTTAGAATATCCTTTTGTATTCTCTATGGCTTATTTTCTATTTCACAATGTATCGGTAATTTACAATTAAGTAAAAGATATACTGGTTGATAGTTCAAAGTCTCTTCTATGAAATCTGAGAAGCACTTATCAATCGGTCAAAGTACTTTACTATAATTCTTAGAATATTGAAAGCTAGTGAGCTTTTTTCTATTTCTTTTAAAAGGCTATGATTTAAATAATCAGTAAAATCGATAAAATGATCTGTACATTAGAATATTATACAAACCGTAAATCGAACGATTGAACAGTAAATTACTTCAATGATCAGTTATTGATTAATTAGGTCTGCAAGTAAATTTGAGAATTAGTAAATATAATTAAATAACAGTAAATTAAATAAAAAGATGAGCATAGAAATTGAATTGTATTATAGTGTGACTCAAATCGATGGTAAACATATTGCAAAAGAAATAATAGAAGATATTAAAATGCTTCCATTCAATTATTCAATTCTACAGAGGTATTCAGATTAGCATCAACATTATTTATGAAGAAATGAAATATGAATAACAAATAAAAAATCAACTTTAGGTTTTATGAATTATTTTCATAATAGAGTGTGAGAATATGGGTGTGAGTGAGATTATGGTTGAAGAGAAGATCTACACCAGCACCCACTTTCACATCCATACCCCACACTCACCCCCCACACCCTCTTCGTCATGGACACGATACTTTTCTATAATCTGACAAACGTGTTGTTTTCGGTTTTTTTCTATGAACATTTTTCAGTGAGTATAGTGGACTTTTCTGCTTTTTATTTAACCTTACCACCGTAATTGTTGTCACTAAAAAAAATTGCGTGAATGTGCTGAAAGCAATATCTAAAGAGCTAACTTAACAAGGTATATACAACTAGATTGAAAAACTGTAACAAAAAGATTTAACTTCAATTTGGAATTACGAGCGCTGTATGAAAAAAAATACGCTAATATTCATATAATGCCAATTTAGAATAGTTTTTTTTTCCTTCCATCAAGTCTTGTTTCATAGAGAATTAAGCAAAGTTTTAATTACACTTCACTGATAGCCAATCAAATACTACAATGATATTTCTCTTTTGTAAATGTCGAAAGTCAATAATGAAAGTGACTCAATAATTGTCTTGTTTTTTAATCAGAATCGAAAGTAGTTCAGAAGAAAAGCAAAAAAAGCTACTCTTTAAATTCATCTTTATTTGGTTATTGCTTTTAAAATATGTAAATTGTGATTTTTGATTGACTTGTCAATATTTAATTATTAAATTTTTAAAGTAAATATAAAGATACATTACCGATGAAAAATTTGCAAAACTATTTGCTCTTCTATTAATGTTACATGAAGAAAAAATATTTTATTATCGAATCCAATCATTTAAAGTCAAGTCAAGTCAAACTTGGATGTTTTTAAAATAGTTTTTCATTATTAAAATTACTCATTTCATCGTTTTAATACATGTATAAAAGAATGCATATTTTCAAAATTGTTACTCTATATCTTACAGTAACATATCATAGTTATGGACAGGCAAGTAGCAAAAAGGGTAAAGATAAAATAGTTAGAGCTTTTTCTACGAAGGAAGTTCTAAAATGATATAGGAGCGAATGCATATTCAACAGAAGTTTTGGCATGTTTTTCTGGTGATTCATCGGTAATGTTAACAAATGGGGAACGGAAACAAATCAGTTATCTTCAAACAGGTGATGAAATTCTGACTGTTGATCATTTGAAAATAGTTCCTACTGAAATGGTTATTATGTTGGATAAACAAAGATCAAAACAAGGTTTGCTACTCCATCTTAATATATCTTTTTTCTTTAATAGGTTTGTTTTAGCTCAATTTTATACATTCGTAACTGATTCGGATCATAAAATAAGTTTAACAGGTCTTCATTTACTACCGATTATTTCGTCAAATAAAAAAATTAATTACATTGCGGCTCGAGAAGTTCAATTGGGTGATCAACTTTATGCTTTAGTTAATGATCATATAGAATCTTCACCAATTAGAAATATAACTATTGAAATAAAACAAGGATATTTCGCTCCATTAACATTGGCAGGTTAATTTAAATTTTATTGTATTTATTTTTTTTCTAAATATTTTTATTATTAAATACAGGAACTTTATTGGTAAATGATGTTTTGGCAAGTTGTTATGCATCAGTAAAAAGCCATCAATGGGCACAAATTTCTATGATTCCATTTCGTTGGTATTATAGATTAGCTCGTTTTATTTCTGTCAATGATCCATTTGATAATAATCGGACAGATGGAATACATTGGACTGTGCAGATTATTTATCAACTGATAAGCTATATTCAATCATTGACATTACAAATTTTATAAACTATTGTTTGGTTTTTATTCATGTCTAACACAAATGTGGACGTGTGCATAGAGGATAATTTCAATCGGATCCACATATGTACTATCTCTCAGATAAAAACTGTATCTATATTTATTGAAATTATATGAACCTTGTTTCAGTTTTCATTTCTTTACAGTCTATGAAACTTCATTTTTGTATATTTTGCTCCATGGAAACAAGATGTATGGATATCGTATGCAGACAAGTAAACGCTAAAAATTGTGTTTCAATGCATTCAGATAGAAAATCGAGAAAAAACGTATTATAACTCATTCATATGATGAATCAAAAATTTTAACTGATTAAAATAAGTTTGTTCTCATACAAACACGTTTTAATACACATGTATCTATTAATTAGAATCAACAAAAAATTGGTCGTCAAAACGCGATTTTTTTTTCATTTTTTTTGTCTAGCAGTAAGGCGTTTCAATGGTTCGATTCAATATACCATAGCGTCATTGAAACAAAAGAATTCGAAATCTTGCTAAAATAAAAAAAACTTAGCATTTTCATGTACCAACTTGCAAATTAAAAAATTGAAAAGACAAATAGATTTTAAGGCTCCTTACTGTCAAAAATCAATCTTGGATTAGTTTCGTTCGACTTATATGAAATGTTCTGGATATGTTGAGTCTGTAGTGGAGAGACTATGGTAGAATTTTCAGCCCTATATCATGACGTTTTTCGCAAGATATTTGACAAACAAGGGAAAGAAACAAGCTCGTTTGGCAATTGAAACTTCTCTACGGACCTTTATTGTCTAGATTTAACTATGTTTTTCTTTGAAAAAGCATGTCAGGATGTAGGGTATGCAAGAGCCCTTTTTAATAATTTCACTGGTAAGGAGAGAAAAGGAAGGAAAGGTTCAATGCCTCGAAAAATTCGCAGGGTGTGGGTATGGATGTGGAATGTGGCTCTGAGTTTGTTTCTTCGCTTCACCTACACTCACACCCATGCCAATACTAATGTCCTGCACGAGCACGACTTTTTACACCAGGATCCGATCCGAACCGGACCCATATAGGGCGCGGGTGTGAGTGTGGGTATATTTTAAGTCTTTTCCTATACCCATACGTTCACCCACATCCTCAATAAAAATGTTGGGACGTACGTCTGCGTCGTTGGACTCGAAACTATTAATTTTCATTTCTGTCACCTAAACCTTTCCTTTCAAGAAAGTGTACTATAGAGTATGCCCATAAATTTTCAGACCTATAACTCTAATGATGGATGAGATCCGAGGGAGGGAAAAGACTTTAGTCCAGAGTTGTACTTTTTTTTCCTTACTTCGACCCTCCCTCAGGTATGCGAAAATTTTCCTTTTTTAAACTATTTATGTTCAATTCAATAGATCTTATTAAAATGTTAAAGATTGACTCTCATGCAAGGTGAACTATCAAAGAACAGTCCTTCGTTCCTGGATTTGAAAA